GTTCTGACAATTATGAGTATGTATGCATGCTAAATCAAATTGAATCCATTATCATATCTAAAGTATCCTTTTTATTTCTTCAAATTAACTTGTCATGTTATATTATCAAATCCATGTTCGTATGAGATGGAAAAAGATAAATGCTGTAAAAATAACAAACTCACCAGCGTTCAATGTTTTCGGCTCTATTGCTGCTTGAGAAACAAGACACCTGATTTTCAATGCTCGCATGAGTGAATGCAATGACAAAAAGATTCTCTCACCGGACAATAATTTCCTAAAGCAAATTATTAACAAAAGTCAAGTAATCATATAAGAGCAAAATAACTTAGGTAGAATGTATGTTAATATTCCGAACTCTTTAAATATGTAGAGGACAGGAGTAATGGACCATTGTTAGATAATGAAATAAGTCTTCTCATTCAAGTAATAGCACTTGAAGGAAATCAGCAAATGATATGTTTCAAAACAGAGCCAATACAAATTTTCTGTGTATTTTAATCTTCCAATTAATGAACTGCATAACACAGAAACGACACAAATTGAGCGGATAGAAAAGAAGTTAGTTTTTTTTTTTTTTTGGATATTAGAAAAGAAGTTAGTTAATCAGCATATATTGCGCGTCTATGAGAATCGGTCAATTATGTATATACTTACATACAAGTCATGGTAATCTATCATTGGCCAGTTATAAATCGCCTCTTATCTCTGAACCTATCCATTGTCGCCTCAAATTCCTCTGCTATTACGGCACCATCAAAGAAACCTTTGATATTGTTGCATCTGGTTAACGACACTTGTTTCAAGGACGGAAAATTCAAAGTGGAACTCCATGATTGACTCTACTTGTTATCATATCCTGATGGTCATTGACCATTGCTTATGGTTACAGGATTGATAAGTTAATAAGAAGAATTCTGTATTTATGGGACGGTACATTAAGAAAAAAAGAGGAAATAGTTAATTCAAAAAGTCAATAGGTTAACTTTGAAGCTTTAAGTTAAGTCTTTTGCTTTTGCTTCCTCAATTAATTATGCTGCACTTTAGTATCATATGTATGTTAACTAATCGGCTCGAGACAGGGACAATATATTTATGGTATCAAAGCAATTTCTTTGGGGAATTTCTTGATGTTTTGCAATTGTTTGATGTTTATGAATGGCTTTTAGGATTTTCTATGATAATGCATGTGTGACCACTGAGTGTAGGTCTGATCAACTCATTCCTTTGTGTAACATGTGCAGAGTCATGGTTCCTCCTAGAAGGACTTGGGAGGCATCTGATGAACAGCAAGATTCGATTTTGGCTGCCTTGGTTAGACCCCGAATCAACCGTAGGGAAGGTCATTCGCATTGATCCTATGGTAGCAGCTTTAATTGCTCTATAGCAACAAATGGATGCAACGAGACTGATTGAACTTGAGTTAATGATGAAGGCAAATCAAGATATGTTGGAGGCTAATAGGCAGTCGAATGTTGAGATAATGAGGATTATGTTAGCTGAGGTCAGGGCTAGTGGGCCGGGTGCACAGCCACAGCTGCCGCCGACGCTCGCTCATACTTTCTATGTAGAGCCAAGGGTTGGTGAGGCAAGCCATCATGCTGAGGTATCTAGTCATCGTGGTGGTGCTGGTGGTAGTCATCATGGGAATGTGATCAGATCACAGTCAGGTCAGGCTGATGATTTGGAGCTCAGAGAGAGGAGGTTGAATGCTTTCTGTAAACACAAGCCACCTTCTTTTAAGGGTGAATTTGATCCTATTGTTGCTGCCGAATGGATTCAGGAATTGGAGCGCATTTTCAGAGACATGGAGTGTCAGGCATAAGCTTCTGTGCTCCACCTATATGCTTCAGGGTAATGCTGCTGATTGATGGGTGAATACCCGTCGTCCACTAGAATGCCAGGGGATTTGAGAGGCTATTCATGGAGAAATATTTTCCTGATGAAGCTAGGGAAAAAAAGAAAGGGGAATTCGATGATTTGAGGCAAGGTGACATGTTTATTGATGAGTATTTGACCAAGTTCAATAAATTGGCTAAGTATTCGTGCTTTCGAAGGAATATGCCTATTACTGAGGACATGATTTTCAAATTCAAAAAAAGTTTAAATGAGAAAATTGCTAAGAGACTTGCCGATAATTGTTCAAGAGATTATGCGGCCTCGGTTAAATAGTGCAAATATATTGAAGATGTCTATGTAAGATCAAAGAATAAGAATAGCAATGAATCTGTTTCTAGAAACCCTAGTGGTAAGAATTCTTCTTGGAGCAATAAAGGTAAGAATCTTGAGGCCAGACAATCAGATGGTAAATTCAAAAGGTTTGGTAATCTGAAGGGTGGAAATTCTAAAGGTAATGTGAGGTGTGCGTAAGAACCACCAAGGTGTCTGTCGGAGGGATAAGAATTTGTTCTTCAAGTGTGGCAAGTCTGGCCACTTTATTAAGGATCGTCCCTTAAAGTCGGGACAGATTTCTATTTCTCAGGTGATTTCTACAGCACATATATGTAAGTTACCACACCGCTAAATAACTAGTTAGGTAACAGTACCGATGCCGGAGCATGGATTTAATAAAGATTGTGCGTAATTATGGTAATATAATTATCTAGATGGTCGAATAATGCTTAAGTCGCTTCTTTGATGAAAAGTGAAGATATCGATTTTGCTTCGCGGTATAAAGCATACCGGTGAAGTATTCCGAAAAATAGAAATAAAATATGAATATTCTTAGAAAAATATCTAAGTTAAGAATATCAAGTTTGGGGGTAAAAATAATAAGCAGTGATGTCAGAACTAATATTGGCTATGTATAAAACGCGTACTGATGAAGTGTCTCGAAAAAATTAATATAAAAATATAAAAATTCTTAAAAAAATGTCTAGATTAAGAATATAAAATTTTAGAGTTAAATGAAGAGTGAAACTAATTAAACTAATACTGTTAATTTAAGTAAGTGTACCTATATATATCTTTTTTCTTTTTTTATTTGAATATGTTTTTATATAACTATAAAACAAAAAGTGAATGGAAAACCATGGAAACTAACTGATGAAATGGCAAAACAAAAGTCTAAAAATAATAGGAGAGCAATTGGAGCACAATAAATGATTAAACTCTAAATGCAAGTTGTTTTATTACGTCCCATCACTAGCAATAGTTAAATCTCAAAAGACATACACAAATAAAGGGTGGTATTTTTACTAAAATAAAATAAAATATAAAATTGTTATTTTTAGCTAGTTAGAATATGTAATCTTTTTTAATATAAAATTGGCACTGAGATTTCAACTTATAATCTCATGCAAACAATTTTAGCTTCTCACCACTAGACTACTAGCAGTGAGTTACAATATATAACTTTTAAAATCAAAACCATCTTCAATATGAGCACGCGTCAACATAATTCCCAACCACCATTTCTATAACATGAAATTATAGAATTACCGCACACAAAAACAACACAAATTTATTGAGGAAACGAAATACAAATAAACTTTTATTTCTAAAGCACTCTTTGAGTTTAAAATCCATACATACTTCCTCCATGTAGAGATATACATGTCGAGGTCACTAGTAAAACACACATTTTTAAACTTAAAAACCATACACACATGTAGAAATACAAATAACTTATTCACCAAACATACTCCATAACTTAAAAGTCTTACACAACTCTTGCTGAAATACATGTCAACTTATTCATGAAAACAGTCCATAACTTAAAAATCGTACAAAACACTAGTTAAAATACGTGCCTCTTATATGAATATAAGACAGCTTTATTAAGAAAATACACCCTTATGTAACTTAAAAATCACACATACTTCCTGTAGGCATATAGGTAAACTTTATTCATGAACACCACACTCCAAATGAGAAGAAAAGTCCTCAATTTGTCAACAATTACTGCCATGATGTTATCCACTCATCATCTGATTGCATTCTTCGAGTCCTGTTGAACCTTCAAATATTTTTTTTTAAGAAAAAACAATTACATTAGATAGTTGCTGAAAGTTAAAACAGTTCCAAACTTAAAAGAAAGGGGCGAAATATGTTGAGTTATTCATGAACTCAGCAACAAGTACTTTACACTTTAGGTGTAAAGCATGATAAAATGTACGACTACCAAATTTAGGTGTTTTTGTGCTTTCTTAGCTACCTAGTGTATAATTATAGTTCTGGCAATTATGAGTTTCTATGCATGCTAAATGAAATTGAATACATTATCATCATTCCTAAGCCTTCTTTTATATTTCTTCAAATTAACTTGTCATATTATCTTTTACTATGCCCAAATCACCCCCCCCCCCCCCCCTTTCTCTCTCTTTCTTTTTCCCTTCTTGTCTTTTATCTTATTTCCCCATTCCCCAATTTTCTATTTCTATTTATTTTATTTTTAGTTTTTTTTATTTTATTTTTTTAATCTCCTCTTATTTATCATTGAGTTCATCTACCACCGACCCCAATTAGTTTGGGTTAAAGTTGATATTGATGTATGCCCAAATCCATGTTCCTATGAGATCAAGAAAGATAAATGCAGTAAAAATAACAAACTCACCAACATTCCATATTTTCTGCTCTATTGCTGCTTAAGAAACAAGACAACTAGTTTTCAAGGCTCGCATGAGTGAATGCAATGAAAATAAGCTTCTCTCACCAGACAACAGTTTCCTAAAGAAAATTATTAACAAAAGTCAGGTAATCATATAAGACCAGAATAACTTAGGTAGAATATATGTTGATTAAACGTTCCTAACACTTCAGATGTGTAGAGGACTGAAAGAAATAAGGGACCACTGTTAGATGATGAAATAAGTCCTCTCACTCAATTAATAATACTTGAAGGAAATTAGCAGCAAAATATATGTTTCAAAACAGAGCCAATACAAATTTTCTGTGAAACATGGAAACGGGACAAATTGAGCATATAGAAAAGAAGTTAGTTAATCAGCATATATTGCATGTCCATGAGAATCAGCTAATTATATATACTTACATACAAGTCATGGGAATCTGTCATTATCTATTATATAATATATATATCGCTCCCAATATCCGTCGATTGCTGCCTCAAATTCGTCTGCTATTGTGACACCATCATCGAAACCTTTGATATTGTTGCATGCGGTGAACATTACATGTTTCAAGGATGGAAAATTCAAAGTGGAACCCCATGAGTAAAAGTTTCCATGTTCTGGAAACGAGCTAAGAGTCAAAATCTCAACCTGCTCACCATTCATCGCATACACCTCTTTAGCCACTATTTCTTTTATTGACTCACAGCCACTAACATGCATCTTATTCAGTACGGGCAATGTTGTAGCTGTTGAGAATATGAACAAGTATTTCATGCGGTAGCATTGGGTGAGATACACATGTTTCATGGATGGAAAATTCAAAGTCCAACTCCCCGAGTAAAAACATCCAAGTTCTGGCAACGAGCGAAGAATCAAAATCTCAAGCTTCTCAAATTTCACCAGATCTTGATCTAATTCATCTCCCACTTTAACCACTATTTCTTTTATTGATTTACAGTCGTGGACATGCATTTCCCTTAATTTAGGCAATCTTTCGGCCGTGGAGGATGTGAACAAGTATTTCATGTTGTGGCATTCAGTGATCCTCACTTCTTTCAAGGATGGGAAATTCAAAGTGGAACTCCCTGAATAAAAGCTTCCAATTTCTGGCAATGAGTGGAGATCCAAAATCTCAAGCTTCTCTAGTTTTATCTCTTCTTCATTTTCATCTCCCTCTTTAGCCATTATTGCTTTTATTGATTTACAATTGACTATGTGCATCTCCTTCAGGTTAGGCAATCTTTCGGCAGTTGAGGATGTGAACAAGTATTGCAATCCACCACAACGCTCTACAATAAGCTTTGTCAGATTGAAGAAAGACACAGTGGATGGTCCCATATTAATCATCTTTGTACGGTCAAATATTGCCTTAACAGTGTTACATTCCTTCACTTCCAACTCTTCCAAGCTACTTAGGAAAGGAAGTAAATGAGAAGGTAGTATGGCATCTGACGAAAATTCATCATAATCTTCCACGTTCAAAGAAGTTAACTTGTCAAAACACCCCTCTTGGACTGGCTCTGACTTACGCCATATCTCTTGCAACATTTGAGAAGACCCGAGAAATAAACGATCCTGGAAAAGCAAAAGAATAAAGACATGAGACAACTTAGTACTTCATACTTATGTAAGGATGCATATTATTGTTGTCTATTATTATGTAGATTTTCAAATGGTGTACTCCTGTCTTTCCTTTGTCAAATTGAAGAATTATAATTCCTCATTCTCTCTTCTTTGCTATCTCTCTCGTTCATCATTTTACCTTATTGTAAGCATTTTTATTTCTATTGTTTTTTCCAAGGAAAGGGTAGTTCTATCAAAAGCTTAGACCCATAAAATAATTTTTTTTTTTATTGTTACATATGAGTAAAAATTTACGTATATGTCCTGCGTACTAAATAAAAATTGAAGAGTATGGAATTTTTATAGAGATGCGAAGGAGCGGTGCAAGGACTTTGCCCCCAAGTTAATGCCCAAAGCAATCGACCAAGTTGTAAAATGTAAAATCCCTCTAAACCTTGGTTTTAGAAGGAAATAAATGGCACTACAACCCAATTACTTAAAGAACACATCATATAAATAACTAACATTTCTTTTGAGATAACTTGTAAAATGTATTTATACTAGGAGGGAGGTTATGCATATAATACTTTTTCCATACATCTTATAATCATTTCTGTCATCGGTTATTCAAAATCAAATCAATAATGCAAAATGGCATTATACTAAGAGAATAATATAACCATTGAAAATGTTCTCACCCAACACCTTAAGATTTTGGGTTGAAGTGGTTTTTTACATGGTATCAAACCTTCCTTAACCACAAGGTCACTGATTCGATCCTCACCGCCCTCCACTTGTGGAATTAAATAAGCATAAGGTAAACCAAAAATTGAGCCTATACTTACGTGGAGGGTGTGTTAGAGAATAATATAACTATTAAAGAGGCCCTCACCCAACACTTAAGGTTTTGGGTTGAAGTGGTTCTTTACAAGAGTCATTAATTTGATTTTTATATAACATTTATTAAATGGTTATAAAAGGTTGCAAAGAAAAAATATTGTGAGCATAATATGCCTCTAATGATTAAAATAAAAAAAAGTTATTAACATATTAATAAATTACTAACAAATTATCAAAATGTCAGAATCATAGCAGTACGGAAAAAGTAGCACACAGATATTGTTTTCCAATGCAATAAGAGAAGTTTGGTTAAGACTCGTTTGAATACATTAAATTCACGCAAAATTTGAGGTCACATTTAATTGATTCGGATGAAGTCCTTACCTGTTGTAGAAACAACATTTTTACCGAGTCTTGAAGATTATCGTGGAAGACCAGATCATCATTTGAGTCCTCGGAAGCTAGAATTCCTCTAAAAGATTCCACATGTATTGGCCCTTGGGAAAATTTTTCCATATTGGGGCAGCCCAATATGTCCACTTGTAATAGAGATGGTAACTGCAAATTGTCATTGCCTGAATAAAAACATCTCAGGTGGAATAAATCATGTAGAACTATCCTGTCCAGCCACTCAAGTTTGATCCCTTTTGAAGTTGTTTCATCATGTCGAATTATTTCTTTCATCAATCCACATTCCTTGATTGTGATCTCCTCCAGGTGCATTAACTTTTTTGCTTCTGAGGATGTGAACAAATACTCCAGTCCATCACAGCCCGATACATACAATTCTCTTAGATAGGAGAAAGTTACTGCAGAGTGTACTAATGTTATCAAAGCAGAACAGTGGAAAACATTTAGTTTGTGGAGTGTGTTTAACCATGATGAGTTCTCTGACCCGATGTACTCGATCTCATATACTCGGTACAATGTCAAATTTTTCACGTGCCAAAGCCTCTCATGGTTTTGAGTGACGAATATCTCGGGATCCTTGCAATAGCTTATAAGCATTGATTCTATATTGGGTGCCTTCTCAAGTATTTCATAAGGCATAGTACCCTCACCATTCGAATTATTGTTATCAAAGTACAGGAAAAGATCATTCAAATATTTGAGGTCTTCGGTTAATTCTCCGGAACTTGACATTAACACTGAAATGTGTTTCCAATCGAGCTCCAATTTCTCCAAGTTGGAAATTGCCTTGTAGAGGAAAAACAATCGGGAAAGAAAGAGCTGTGAATCAGAAGGTAGAAAAAACAAAAACAAAAAAACTAAAAAAGGAAAAAGAGTCGAGAGAGCAGATTCTGTTACTTACTTTTAGATCCGAGAAAAGGGGTTGGCTATTACTACTTTCACCCTTAACCTCACCCTTGGGATGTGCAGTTTGAAATAGCTTTAACATAGGGCATTCCAACACAGATATATGACGTAACGCGTGGCATTCCAGTGTGAATGTTTCAGGGTAAAAGTAAGTGAGCATTTTCAAGTTATAAAGATCCAGCGAGGTTAAACTTGGAAACACAACTGTCACTTGTGCTGGTTCTTCTTCTTCTTCTTCCTTTTCAACAATTTCTTGCAAACTACGACAAGTTTTTATTTCAAGTTTCGCCAGCTTCTTAAGATTTTTGGCAAGGGTGGCAGGAAACAGAGTTTTCAGTTTGTCACATCGACTAACAAAGACTTGTTGCAGATTTTGAAAGCCGAGAATTCCTTGACCATAATTTTTCCACACATGCGTTAGCTTCCTTAGCCTTTCCAAACTCAATTTCTCTAATTGGGATGCTATACGCATAATCTCAGTGTTATTCATATCAAAAATTGCCTTTACTCTGTAACAATCTCGTACTTCAAATTCTTTTAAGCTTTTTAAATAAGGAAGATTAGATGGAATTGCATATGGTTCAATTTGACAGTTGTTCAGCTTCAAAGTTTTTAAACTGTAAAACCAATTGCTTTGCAGACAAACTCCATCATGCCACATTTGATCCAACAATCTCATCCCGTCAATGCCTTTCAAAAGCCCCTGTAAATATTGCAAATAAGTTTATCATCAGATATATCATATTCTAAGGCTTGCTCTGCCTATGAAAACCATTACAATACTTTTCCTATTAGCATCCCTAAATTGAAAATAAAATCTAGAACGAGTAATAAAATGTCATAATCTCAGTGTTGTTCATATCAACAATTGCTTTTACTTTATCACAATCTCGTGCTTCCAATTCTTTTAAGCCTTTTAAATATGGAAGATTAGATGTAATTACGGATGGTTCAACTTGACAGTTGTTCGGCCTCAAATCTTTCAGACTGTATCCTGAAGAAAACGTCAACTCACTGCCTTCCAAAAGCCCCTGTAAATATTGCAAATAAGTTTATCATCAGATATATCATATTCTAAAGCTTGCTCTGCCTATGAAAACCATTACAATACTTTTCCTATTAGCATCTCTAAATTGAAAATAAAATCTAGAACGAGTAATAAAATGTCATAATCTCAGTGTTGTTCATATCAACAATTGCTTTTACTTTATCACAATCCCGTGCTTCCAATTCTTTTAAGCCTTTTAAATATGGAAGATTAGATGTAATTACGGATGGTTCAACTTGACAGTTGTTCGGCCTCAAATCTTTCAGAGTGTATCTTGGAAAAAGAGTCAACTCACTGCCTTCCAAAAGCCCCTGTAAATATTGCAAATAAATTTATCATCAGATATATCATATTCCAGTCTTGCTCTGCCTATGAACACCGATACAATAATTTTCCTATTAGCATCCTTAAATTGAAAATAAAATCTAGAACGAGTAATAAAATGTCATAAACCCAGTGTTATTCATATCAACAATTTCATTTACTTTATCACAATCCCGTGCTTCCAATTCTTTTAAGCCAATTAAATATGGAAGATTAGATGTAATTACGGATGATTCAATTTGACTGTTGTTTTGCACACCAACTCCATCATGCCAGGCTTTTTCTGCAAAACTAATCTCCTTCATGCCTTCCAAAAACCTCTGTAAACATTGCAAATAAGTTTATCATCAGATATATCATATTCCAATCTTGTTCTGCCAATGAACACCGATACAATACTTTTCCTATTAGCATCCTTAAATTGAAAAGAAAATCTAGAGCCAGTGATAAAATGGATTATGTTAAATATCAATTGCAGATCATAATTATCATTTCTTTCATTTCATATAAACCAGGTCCTATTAGACGAGTAAGACTGAAATTAAATTTCTTATTCGATAATTTTTTTTTCAATATATATATTCAAGGGCACAACCAATTTTTGGACTGTCTCCAAAAATGGAGGTGGCAAGCTCGAACTATACCGTTTAGCAAGAGAATTTGCATGAAAACAAATTTGTGAGTGTTAATTAAATGATGTCTTTCGATCTCAACTACTTCCACTTTTTTCTCACTAGGATTTCAGTTATCTTTTCTTTCATAAAATTATTGTAAAGTGGATAAGTAAATATCTATTCACTTTTAATTTAATTTAATTTAAAATAAATTATAATCTTAACAAACAAAAATTTTAAAGTAAATTTCTCTTCACTTAAGAAAATTCATTTATTTGCTTTAAAATAGTTATTAAAAGAAAAAAGCACAACACAACAAAAAATGAAAATTCAGTTTATAAATCCATGCTTACGTACCTTTTCATTGAACATCTTTTGTATTGTATCTCTTAAATTACCATCCCAACACCATCTCTTCTCTTGTTCATGTGCGACATATATTTTTTGTAAGATCGGCGTGTTGATGGCTACTTCAGAGAATTTTTTCATTTTGGGGCATGCACTCACTACTAATTTCTCCAATACCGGGAACTCAAAAATACAACTATTAGAGCAGCAAAAACTTTCAAGGCTCTTAAGTGAAACAAGTTCTAGAGTCTTCAATTGTCTGAAAACAATATAAACTTTGCCTGCATTTTCTCCTTCATTTCCTTGCTTTGATACAATCTCCTTCAAAGATTCACATTTTAGTACCTTCATGGTGCTAAGTTGAGTCAAGCTTTCCGCAGACGATGGGGTCATTAAATATTGCAATCCCTTACAATCAACCACTTCTAGATATGTTAAATGAGCTAGAGATACCGAGAAATGCATAATAGTGATCAAAGAAGGACATTTCTTTAATATCAAGAACTCTATCCTTTGTAGAACTTTGTCTTGTTGAAAGCCTATCTCTTCAAGATTAGGTAAGTCTATTAACTTCAAGCTTTTCAACTTTGGTACAACCCCCAAGTTTTTAATTTGAGGAGGCTTTCTGCAAGGCACCATCTCTTTAAAGAAACAATTGCTCAATGATAGGCTTTTGAGATTAGGGTTTCTATGAAGGAAAGAATAAAGAACATCAGTGTTCATTAATCTAGATAAGTGAAGCTCTTCTAAGTTGTCCCATCGATGGTTCCCTTCACTCATGTAGCTACTTGACGACTTTGCATGCCACGATTCAATTTGCATGGCCTTCAAATTATTGATTACCTATAAAAAATAGATGATAAAAAACAAAGAGAGTAAGTATAAGAAAATTCATTGAGCTTTTTTTCCTTCTATTTTGAATTTTGCTCGATTTTTCTATAACTTCGAAAGAATTCTCAAGAGTTGAAAGGATAACTATTACCTTTTCAGGAAAGAGAACTCGCCTTCGTTGTGTTTCATTTTTGAATGGTTCAAACTTGTCACAAAGTTCAATAGACAAGTCGCTCAATACTTCACACCTCAATTCATAATCTCCTGAGTAGAAACTCCTAAGTCTTGGAAGTTTCGAAAATTTGATGGTGGTTAATTTAGGAAACACAAATGGTGGATTTGAATTGCTTGTGTTGGCACTGTTACCGTTTCCTTTGACAACAATATCCCTCAATTCAAAGCAATCACATGCCACAAGGTATTCAAGACACTTGGCTTCAAAAATTGGAAATATATATTCTAACTTGTGACAATGTTGAACTCTTATCTTTTGAAGCTTTTTCAAGTTAAGAACCCTTTGGTCTTTGTTCCTTTTCCATACATGTTGTAATTTGGGGAGTGCTTCTAAATGAACATCTTGCAAGTTGTTTACATCCTTAGCATCTACTTTTTCAGCATCTTGGTCAAATATCTCTTCCATTGACCTACAATTAGTAACCCTCAAGTTGCATAGACTTCGAAATATTTTTCCCTCCACGTTACTAGGAAAAACATTGTTTAATCTATCACACTGCTCAATGATCAGAGTATCCAGTTTGCCAAAGGAATCTGAAGGGAGTTGAGCATTCCATATCTCAGTCAAGCTTTTCATGTTACTCAGTTTGATATTCTTCAAATTTGGAAAGATGCTACCCTGGCTTGGTTCATAATTTCCCTAAGTTAATCGAATTCACAAAGATGTCAAATGTAAAGCAAATCAAACCAATAAAGATATAGTAAAAAGAAAGGTTTTAAATTTTGGTTTGGGTTAAGAAATTATTGCATTATTATTATAGCACTTGTTAAATAATGTGGCCAAAGACAATCTTTACAAATAACAATGCCAACAAAACAAGTCAAAGTAATTCTTGAAATAACAATATTGCAACTGCTGACTAAGATTTGAACACTTAATTTTAGAATACTTCAGTGTATATAATAGAATAGTCCCACATCTTGTGGGCTTAGCCCATTAGGTCTTTTAGTCTCTTTAAATAAAGAGCTCTTGTACGTTGTAACACACTATTATTCAATAAACAATTATTCTATTATTCAATCTCAAGTTGGTACCAGATCTATTTGTTCTGGGGATCCGCTTCCGCTAAAATCCTAAGCCCACTGCTTGGGTGTTCTTTTTAACTTGTGCATCCTTCCGGCAAGTCTTCATCAGCCTCCGGAGATCCTCTACGGCGTGTGTCCTTCCGTCTTGTTTCTTCAACTGATAGAACCACCGTTCGTCACTATTCATAGCAACCAGAGTATTGTTCAGGCGTCGATTTTAACCGGAAAGCCTGCGATCAGAGCCCTCTCTCTCCGGCGACCAAGTCTGTAGAAGACCCATCACCAGAGGAGTCCCCACACGCGGGCTCCTTCTCCGGCGCGTGTGCACTGTTCCGGCGTCCTTTTCTAGTCGTTCCGGGACAGAATAGCTCGATTTTTCCTCCCCTTTACAGATTTGTGCTTGGTTCTTTGTAGGTCTCACATTCGGCGTGTGTTTCTTCTTGATTGACTATCGTTTACTTTCATTAACTGCTTTTATATTTTGTTTTTAATGGCAGCAGCGTCCCCTGATCACTAGGAGGTTAAGTCTCCTTCTCCTCCTTCCAAAACTTCCTCGGGTATCATCTTTACTAATGTTTGGCCCATTACCTCTTCCAAAATGAAAGGTTTTGATAACTACAAGAATTGAGCCACCTCTGTTCATGTTTGGTTCTAAGGACAAGGGCATGGGCATCATCTCACTATTTCATCTACTGATATCCTTAAGGCTAAGAAATCTTATTGGTAAAGGATTGATAATCAACTTCTCAGTATTCTTTGACAGTCTATTGATCCAATTGTTTTGGATATATTCTATTCTTTTCAGACATGCTATAACACCTCTACACTAATGATATCCAGTAGCTCTATTCTGTTATGTCTCAACTCATGAATTTGCGCAAATCATCTGATATTCAAATGGAAACATATATTGGCAAAAGTCGATCTTAATGCAGGCATACTTGGACATATTGCCTTACCTTTCTGATGCTTCTGCGTATCGAAAAAAGGTGGAACTTCTTTATGGTTACCACTCTTTTTGGTCTTCCCGAGAAATATGATATTGTCTGTGACACTATCTTGACTAGTGGGGACCCTAGTCTATCACTGACCTGCCAACGCCTCTTGAATATCAACAAGAAACCAATTCCTGCTCCTGATTCATCTCCTGTTGTTGATTCCACTGCTCTTGTTTCCCGTACTAACACTCACGGGAACAGTGGACGTGGTCGCGATAGTGGCCGGGGCCAGGGCGGACGTGCTCAGAGACCTCGTTGTAATTATTGTCAGCAAGTTGGTTATTTTAAAGATCGTTGTTATACGAAGTAACCTCACCTGCGACCCTCTCTTGCTGCGAATATAACTCAGTCATACATTGCATCATCTAGTTCAGTTTCTCTCTCTCACCTGCGAACTATGCTACACTCCAGACTCTTCTCAAGAAGGCTTCTCCTCAGTCTCAGCCTTCGCTACAGATATTGGTAATCTTGTTGCTTGTTTTCTCATTCTACATCTCTTGACCCTTGGATATTTGACTCAGGTGCTACCGATCATCTCTGTGGTAATAAGGAACTCTTTACATCTCTTACTTATTCTGATCATTTACCTTCTTTTACCCTTACTGAAGGAACCAAAGCCCCAATTTGTGGGATTGGACAATCTCATCCAACCTCTATTTTGACCTTGACATCTGTCTATTACATTCTTGGCATCCCTTATAACTTAAGTTCTGTTTGTAAATTGGTCCACTCCTTCACTTGCACCATTACTTTCTGTAACCATTCTGTTTCTGTGCAGGATCCGAGTACGAGAAAAACAATTGTATGAGTCACGGGGGCTTTACTATCTGGTTGTGCCTCGTCCTTCGGTGGTATAATAGCTCTAACCTAATTAATTAGCAAATTGCATGTAATTAAATAATTAAGCATGTATTAGTGAGTAAAATTAAGTATAAGATTTAATTAAATGAATCTGAGTCACTTTGAATTTAAAAAGTGTACTTAGTGAAAATTAAGGGGTATAAATGGGTGTAGGCAAAAGTACCCAAAATATAAAAATAAAAGTGGAAATATTCCTAGAATAATATTCTAGACTTTTGGGTAAAGTTTGGTAATTATTGGAGTTGAATAGATAGATGAACCGATACCCGTTTTTTAACCACTTAACAAAGTTAAGTGGCATAAAGTAAAAAACAACCAATTCCCCTCCCCATTTTCACGACCCAAGCAGAAAGAAAAGAAGGAGAAAGAAGAAGAAGGAGAAAGAAGGAAGAGGAAAGGGAGGGAGAGAAAGAGAGAGCAAATCTCAACCAAATTCATCCGTTCAAAAGCCTAAACCACTTAGATTCTTCCCCTCTTTCATAATCCTAGCTTTGTTTTGAGTGGGAGTTATTGGGGAGAGAGATATCAACCCTCCAAAATTCGCCCCTTGTGGTGAGAGTTGGGGTTTTAGGGTGATTCTCTCCATTGAAGCTTGGGGAGCGCTCATTGCATCGTTGTGTGGTCATTGGTGGTAAGTTTCCACTACTTTGCACACTAAATCCCTAGATTTTTGCATGAGTTAGGGTTTGTGAATAGTGTATTAGGGTTTTCATAGAAATGTGATTAAATTGGCTATGCTCTAGGAAGTTTGAGACTTAGTAGATGTTATGAAAAATGCTAGAAATGAGCTTAGTAGTCAAATGAGTAGGTTTGGAAAATTGCAAGAATATGACACTTGGTTATGAGTTTTCTTGCATTTTGGAACCATTGTTTGGTTGGTCATTGATTGTATCCTTGTGTTGTCTAGGATTAAGGCAATTGGATCAACCTTAATTGACCAACCTTTGGAGCAAGCAATGGAGATGGATTAGTCCTTGAAATAGGTAAGTTCATCCTTGTGTTGTGGTATGAATAGGATAGCTTGGATTGATGATGATGAGTTATCCTTGAATGCAATATGTTAATTGCATTACCCTTGTATAGGTGTATGTTTGTAAAAGTTGATTGCTGAAACTGTTGGTGAAGAACAAAGGTCGACTGAAGCATTGAGGTAAGCCTTCGGACCTTGGGTGTAATTCCCTTGACTGTTCCACCAAGCCCTGATAGGGTAGAGGTTGTGATTGTGTATATAAATGCAATAAAATAGAGTAATGCTTTGTTATACGTATGTGTATGCATTTGGTGTGGCATAGGATGGTGTTTCCCTATGTTGGTATGTTGCATGACGATGCGTAAATCATACTTGGTAGTTAGCTGGCCAGTAGGACTATTTGCATCTGAGTTTCCTTAGGACAGCTTGAGAGCTCGAGGGATTTCTCCTGGAGATGTTATTGCACTTTGCATGGATATGTATTTACTGTATTATTATTGTTATTGCTATTACACTGATATGGAACTGTGGGGTGGAGAGATGCTCCAAGGACCCCTGGTTTACTGGATATATTCGTATATCTCACCCCGTGTTGTGGAGACCCCCTTTCAGGTAAGGATGCTGCAGGAGCCACCAGTGGCAAGTGGCCATATCTGGATTAGCATATGCATGAAGTGTTGCAATTTTGAGATTATACATGTTGTTTTGTAGCTCACATGTATAGAATTGTAATTAATAGGCAATGATAGATTTATGATTTGTATATTGGAATGGACTTAGCCTATGCTCATGCCTTTGGTCATCTCTTTTGTTGATGGGAGCCAAGGGAATGATCATAGTGTTTTGTAAGCTAAGTTCCATGATTTGTAATGAATATGTACTGTAAATAATGCCTACTTGAAATTCAATATATGCATGCTTTTATGTATTGAGTTATTGAATTGGTTGGGCTGAGAAATCATGTTAGGTACCTAGTTCTAAATTGGGAATTGTTGAGAAAACAAGGATTATGCTGCCCAAATTTTAGTACAAGCCATGAGGAAAAGGGCATGTATGTCCCTTTAGATGTGTTTGTATTATGCAAGAACTAAGAACCAATTATGGAGAGGAATTTATATGATAGGTTTGGACCGTGGTGTATGTATGGAAGTTGTAGATATTTTTCTTAGCTTTCCGCAAGGTAAATTAGAAGTTGTAGATATTTGTAGAAGTTGTGAAATAAATAAGAAGTAAATTAATGGTTTAAAAATGGAATAAGAACATGATGTTAAGCTTGGTTTATCTGATTCCGCAAGGTAATATGGTTATGATCACGCAATTGGATATTTTAAATTCGGCGTCGTTTTAAAAAGAAAAATTTATCCGGATTTTTAATTGAGCCAATGTGATTGTAACTGCGCTTAATATCATAATGCGATGTTAACAAACCGGTTCTAGAACGGGGTGTTACATTATATGGTATCAGAGCAGTTTCGTAGGGAATAACTGTTAGCTATTGTTGAGTATGCTTAGTGTTTGATGCTTTATAGTTGTTTTAGTACTCTTTATGATTATTGCATTTGTGATCACTAAGTGTGGGCCTGATCAACTCACTTCTTTGTGTAACATGTGTAGTGACATGACGAGGCACCGAAACAACCCCGGACCATCAAACACCGATGCTCAGCCAGAACCTGTTTTGGCTGCCCTTGTTAGGCCCAGAAGTGGTCGTGGGGCAACGGG